TATGTCTGCATTTCTTTTGTTGACAAAGGTGTGCTCCGTGTGTGCAGCGGCCCGAACGTTGCACCTTGCGCAAGAGTTTTCCGTACCAGTGGTAAACCGTGCCACCTAAAATCCTTACGGTTAACCTACCGCAGGCTTTTATAATCACTATTATTGTAAAACCGGTTAATCTCGGCCACCCATATAGTGACTCAAATTGTCATCTACCAAATGGTTGAGGAAACATGGCAAGACAAGGCAAGGGCACCATTCATACACAAGGCGACTCAAAATAAGATGGAGACAGTCACACAAGGCATTAAAATCATAAATAAAGTACAGTACAAAGAGTAAAGCTAAAATCCCTCCATTGTATGCACAGCTAAACAGAACTGTTAACCATTAAGGGGTAAATAGGATAGGTTTCTTCACATCTTTATACAACTATTAATCCGGACAGCACCATGAGTGAAACAGAGATGTACACAACCTTTTAAAGATATAAAAGTAGATTGCTTAATGCGACCCAAAAGAAAAGAAGTCCGTTGCTTATCTACAGTAAATAGTATTTGTTCCCTTTGAGCCTGGAGTCACTGTGCGGCTAATTCAGTCTAATGTGCTGTTGACAACGACCCCATTACATCGCAGCCCTGTGGAGAAACCAGTGTGGAGGCAAAGGAGAATGGGCTAGAGATGTGAGGAAACCGTGAGGGCTGTCTCGGTGTATGTATTAGGTCAGGCAACTGTTTGAGTCAATAAACGTGTGGAATCTGACCTCCGTATTTGTATTGTGTACCTCTGTATCACTGCTAAACTATATAATCTGAAGAACTGAACGTCTTTTGTTCTGACTCACATTCTTACTAGTGTCTATATCTCAAGTGATGACATCTCTATTCTTATGCATATTGATAAACACCATATAAAGGGCTGTCTTTGGAAGGACTCAAAAAATAAACCAGGTTACAGGTGCGATCGCTGCTGCCATAGCTGGACAGATTATTTCACATGAAATACAGAGCGTTTGTTTCCATGTGTGTGGTTCACTGGTGTGGCATGTGTGCTAACAGAAGCCTGCTGGGCCCAGAGACAGAGAGAGAGGGTCGGTGAGCATGAACGACAGGGAGCCTCATTAGACCCAGCAGGGGCAACACTTTAGGCACTTTGGAGGAAAAGTGAAAACCACGGCTACAGCAATACATACAGGGCTTTTATGGCAGCAGGTGACCAAGTGAATAGACATTTAATACTTCAAAATAATTATGAGTTATGAGTATTGTAGAAAGCATGAGTAACTACTGTTTTACCATCGAGTCCAGCAAAAGCTCCTTTGAGTCATTGGAAGAAATTGCAACAGAAAGTGCAACACTAATCTAAGATCCATCCATCCATCCATTTTCTACCCTTTAATCCATTTCTGGGTCAGGGGTGTGGCAGTCAGAGATGCCACCCAAGTCTCATAGCACCAGCCCCTCACTGACCCTCTGCAGGTGGTGAGTCCACAGGAGGGACTAATCTAAGATAAGATAAGATAAAATATATTGATCTCACAATGGATAAATTTACATATCACATTTGGCATAGATGTCAAATATGTTAAAAAGTTCATATAAAGTCGCTTAAGTGCAAAATATATGAGATATGTACAGGTTCTACAAATGTCAATGTTTCTCAAGATTCAAGAATACTTCCACAGTCTTTTAGTATTAAAGAAGACACACCGTCCATCCATTTTCTTCCACTTTAATCGTTGCCGATGCTCAGACTTCCTTCTCTACACACACTTCCTCCAGCTCATCTCAGGGAATTCGGAGTTGTTCCTAGATCAGCTGATCTCCTCCCCGTGAGGTGCCCATGAGCCCCCTCACCTGTGTCCTTATGATGTGGAAAAGCAGCTGCTCTACTTCGAGTTTCTCCCATGTGACTGAGTTCCTCATCCCATCTCAAAAGGAGTGTCCAGCCACTCTGCGGAGGTAACTAATTCCAACTATGTACGTTTGAGGTCTTGTATGAAGTATGTCTTTAAGTTTTTAACCATTTTTCATGGAGTTGTTTTTGTTCCATCACCATTTAATCACAAATAGCTGGTACAAAATGGCAAAAAACTAATTTCTCTGTCTCTGCTATCCAAATGCTCCCGTCTTGAAATCACTACACATCCTCATACAATGACGTCTAGAACAGTATTGTTTCCTGCCTTTAGCAAAAGTATTGTAAAAGTAAGTCTAACAGATGCTAATAATGCGTGATTTTTGTTCTATAAACTTGGCATAACATCAAGCATATACACACATTAAATTAAGTCCTCTAAAACAGATACTACGCTTGTTTATGTTCACTCTCGCAGAAAGTCCATACAAAGCTCATCAAGCAAGCGGCCAGCAGCTCCTCAGGGCCACAAATCCTGAAAAATAAATCAAGACTGACGGGAAAATGAGCTTTGTGGAAAAGGAAGAAATGAACGGAGCAGGAGCAGAGTGTGAGCGGGACAAGCCAATGGACAAGGGGTAAAAAAAAATTGTGAACAAAACAGTAAAGGTATAAGATTGTGGTTGGGTGGGAACGAAAGATGAAGTGGTAAAAACAAAGGCGGGAGCCAGGGAGCAGGAGGAGGAGGAGGAGGAGCATCGCAGAGAGTGAAAGAATTAAATAAAAATGCAATAAAGCGGCGAGTGCAAAATCAATCTGCTTAGGCTTTTGTTTAATAAAAATTCATGAAGGGGCCGTTGTGGTCGAGGGAAGAGCTCATGAGAAATATTGTGGGGGAGGCCTGACAGAGACGGGAAGGGGCAAGGGGATGGGGGGGCTGTTGTCGTGGGTGGTAGTGTCTCTGTTGACCATGTTTTCAGCGTGTTTGTGTTTTAGCTCTTCGTCTTGCTGTTTGCTTTGACATGCGAGTGAGTTACCGAGAAGATGGGGCGCGATGTGGGGACAAACTAAGGGTCTTCATAATACCAGCCAGGGGAAAGGCAGAGGCACAAAATGGGCAGTAAGTCAAAACTGTCTTCCCTGTCTTTGTCTGTCTGCAGCTTTCACATCAAGGCCCCGATGTGTGAGGTATAGCCGGGTTATACCAATGAACGGTAAATCCTTACAGAAGCAGACATGTCCAGGTTGGTCAGTAGTTTATGTGCTAGCCACAGGTGATTAGGACCTAAAAGGGTTTTTTAAGAGTTGGTTTGCCCCAGCTTTTCCATTAGGGGGAACAGATTTCTGGTTGAAGCTCAGGCAGATATGGGAATTTTTTACCATTTGGCAGGTGTTTTGTTTTGGAAAAACCAGGTATTTATTCCTTTGGCCCCGGCCCATTCGCTTTTCAAGCACCCAAGGTTTAATTTTGGTTTCGGCCTTTTGCAGACCAGACACCCTTCCCAGCCGGCCGCGCCTGGAAGTTTGGGTATGTTTTTCTCCCCATAGGCTGTATAGGTAGAATGGACAAACAAGCCTCAATTGGAAAGCCCAATGTGGTTTTTCCAAAGGACTTACCAATTACATCCCCAGAAAAACTCTTGCTTGCCCCGCCTTTTGCCTCCCCCCCCCCCAACCCACATTTCCCCACCCACCCTCCCCCACACCTTGCCCTCAAAACAACTTCACTGGCCCTCCCCTTGTTCCCATTAACCGGGCATTTTTTACAATACACCAGTTTTCCTCCTTTTCCTCACCTGCCAAAAGCATTTTTATTAAAACCATAAAAACCTGGGCCCCCTTCATACCCTCCCACTTCACCCCTTTTCTCCCAATCCTCCCCCACTGTTCCCCCCCCCCACCCGCCCCGCCTCCAGATCCCACCCCCCCTCCCCAAAACTCCCCAACCCATTTTCCACCTTTTTTCCCCATCAGAAACAAAGTGGAGCTTTTGAACCTTGAGGGGAACCGGGGGAGGGAGGAGGAGGAGGGGACTTTTTGCTGTAGCTGTCCCCATCCCCAATCCTCTGGAAAACTTCCACTTCCCGCCAACACCATTTTAGGGGGATAAACTTTAGGAATCACCACTTCAGGGACGTTCCAGAATTCCCCCCCCACCGCTCCAAAACCCCACCCTAGTTTTTAAAAAACTGCCTTTTTTTTTACGGCTTAAAACTTATTTTTACTTTTTTTAGCTTTTATTATTTTTGTTTTCTTTGATTTTTTCTTATTTATTTTTGGCTTCTGTAAAGGTGTCCCCCAAATAAAACCAGCGCTCCTAGACAAGGTATGTTGATTATTTATTACTACTTAGGTTGATCTGGGTAAACTGTTCCCAAACCACTTCAACTATGGGCTATATGCAGGGAAAAGGGACTGTTGGAACGCTTCATTTTTTTCCGGTTAACCAAAAAGCATTTAGCCCGTTTTTCCCACTTTTCATGCCTATTTTTGCTATCGCTATGGGGCCGTTTTTCCTTACGGTTCCGGGTTTTAGTGGGGGGACGTTTTTTTTTACTAGTAGGATTGATTCTATCTTTCATTATATCCAGCTCGTGGGGAGAGATACCTGGGACACCCAACAAAAGTGTTCGGGCCTTCCGTTAGCCTTTCTCTCTGAGGGTAGAGGCTTCTTTTTCGACTCGTTGGGGCCCCCCCACACTCCACAGAGCGATTACTTCTTTTTCATACAACTATTCTATTTTTTTTACACACCAAACCCAACCCAATATGACCCCACAGCCAACCCAATCCCAAGAGCCCCCCACCCCACTTTTGCTTTATCGCTTGTTTACCCCCCAAACACTAATAAACCCATCGCCCCCCCCCACGATATTCCTTGCAAGTTTAATTTTTTTCCATCGTTCCCTTGAGGGATTATTTCGGGAGAACACCAAAGGGAAAAACCTCGTTTGGAAACCCCCCCACCCCACCGCACTTGCAACACCCTTTGTCCCACGCTTGTATGTGAAAAATTTAAAATGGGGGAAGGGACCCCACCAACCAATCGCATACAACTAAACTTTGCAACTAAACCCCAAATAAACAAAACAACCCTCCACTCACCCACCCCCCCAAAAACCCCAAAATAATTTGGGCCACCCTTTTAAACCTTACAAAAAGCCACAACAACCCCAAACCCCACAAACCATTCCATAATCACCCCACACCCAGGGACCACACGAGGACACCACCACACCGAACTTAAAAAACTCAGGCGGGGGGGACCAAGGGAACCCCCCATATACCCAATGGATGGAACAAGGGACGTGTGTGTGTGAACCCCAGCAAGGGACCAACAACCCACCCCCCACCACGAGGGGCTTTAATTTTATCCACAAGGGGCGGGGGGGGGGACACTCAACAACAAAGGGGGACACAGGTGAGGGGGGGCTGAGACCCCACATCTCTTCCGAGGGCCCCTACAGGCGGCTGGAGGGGCCCCCAGGGGGCCAGAGTTTTATTTTTCCCCCACCACCTAGCGACAGGAAGCAACCCCCACTCACAGCAGGGGGGGGCAGGGGACACACACCCCCCCCAGGGGGAGAGACCCCATGCAAAACCAAAAACTTACTCCCACCCCACCCCAAATCTCTTTTTCCCAAACACAGGAGAAAATTAAATCTCAAAAATACCATTGACCCCCCATGGGAACTCCCCCAGTTTTTTTTCCAGTTTGAAACCCCAACTTTATCACTAATACCAAGTCGTATTTTCCCCCGCGGAACCCAGGGAACACAGTGAAGGGCGGCCGGGGGGTATTAGCTAACAAAATTGCCAGGGGGGGACCAGTCACGGGTGCGTGCATAGGAGGGCCCACCAAATCTATGGTCCTTGACCAACACGATAACTTTGGGAACCAAGACAATCAGCGGGGAAGTGGTATTGGGTACCCCCAACCCCAACCAAAGGAGGTTGTAATCGATGTTCTACATTTAATCCCTATCCTCTGGCTCCAAGCGTTCCGGGGTAATAGGGGCATCGGTGCAGAAGTGGCCCCCGGGTATGGATGTGACACCACCCGAAGGCGGCACTGTTTGCGCCATCCCAACCACCACTTTTTTGGTTTTGCTGTGGAACCTCCCCATCACTTAATCTGAGGCAGTTTCCCCCTCCGTCTATCCCATCCTTGGGCACGCGGTTTGTCTTCTTTCGTAACCTTAGCTTCTTACTCTCAACTTTAGAACCAGGCTTTTCTTCCGTGGGCCCCCTCTCCAGCAGCCGTTTTTAATTAATCAGTTAAAAACCCTCCCCCCCATTTAAAAAACAAACAACAGTGGTAAGGGAATTATATATATCTTTTTACACCCGTATCGTTCGTCTTTTTCCTTTCTACTCATGTCATTCCATATGTCGCCATGGTCGAATGGGTGGCTCCCATATGGCCTTTTAACATCTTGTGTGTCTGACCATACAGTAAATTCTTCCTTTCACTGTTCCATTTTTACGGATTTTGATTTTGGCACCAACTAATCTTTAATGACACAACTAAATCTTTAATCTTGGTACAAATTTATATCTATTGCCCTAAAACCCTTTTTCTTTTCTTTCTGGCTGCACAAAAACTATCCAACCTTAAAAAATATGTTGTTTTATCACACAAAAAAATAGTCCTCCTCGAGCTGAGCAGGCCTCTGTGAAACCCTTTGTTGTCTTTGTTTTCTATTTTTGATTTATTTATTACGTAACACCTTGTTTTTTGGCCCGTAACGGGGATTGGGACCCCAATTTTTATTCGTCACTCCCCCCCATTTCTCGCGGTAAACTCCAGCTTTGCCTTTGCTCAATTCCATGGATAAGACAACTAACACCATAAAAAACCCATTGCTTCAAGGGCCCGTTACTATTTTTTAAAATTATCCAGGGACTTGGAGTTTCTTTTTTGCTTTGGAGATGCTGGTGGTGACACCGTCCCCCCCACTTGAAGTCGGTTTGCCCCATTTAAATGCGGGAGGGAAACCCACAAGGTTGATTAATAACTTAGTTTTTTCGTGGAAAATGGAGGGGATATTTGGGCCCAATCCGGGCGAATTAGTGGGGCCACAAACACTCTTTTTTGTTGGTCCGGATTGTTCAATAATCAAATCGCCACCAATGGAACCCACCTAACATCCCCCCCAGGGAATCGCCCAGTCCAGGTAGGGGTGGCTCTTTAAACCACTGGGAATTTTTGTTTTATAGCCCATTATTGTTTGAATGTGACCACAATCGCTTGAGCCAGGAAGGAGGTTTTACTTATTGGAACTTTAAAGGACCAAAAACCAGTTATGGGAGCAGCCAGATCGGAGGCAAAAACTTTGATCCCATTGGAGCCCGATTATCCCCTCTGGACCTGGGAGCCTTCCCCCAACTTGAGGGAGGCTTCTGCGGGTAACAAACACGGTCTTCCCTTCCATCTTTTGCGTACATTTACCAAACATATTTTTTTTTGTACCAGGTTCCTTTGCTATGGCGGGGACCCCCTCCCTGTATTAAGCTTGAGCTTCTTTTGCCCCCCCCGCTAGGACTCCCTAGGGGACAAACCCTTGTCTTTGTAAATACATCAATCCCCCCATATTAAGGGGGACCTCTTGGGCTCCCCTCAAAATCCTAATTGGATTTAGTCCCCACTTTCTACACATAGGGTCTACGTGGGTTTTTTTATTCCAGGGTTGGTTCCTGCGGCCCCCTTAGGGGAGTTTCTCCTAGGTCCCCCACTTCCCACCTATTTGCCCCCCCCCCCCCCCCCACCCCCAACACAAGCCTTGTTTTTAAAAAATTTCACCAGGTCCTGGGGACCAACTTGAAATACGCCCTCCACCCCCCAATACCATCTTTGCCCTCTTTGGAGGCTTTCTCAAATTTTTATTTGAATTACATTTTCTAAAACTTTATAACTTTATAAAGCCACACCAACCAGCTGTGTTAGCGACTATCACCATTTCCCAAAATAACGCGGCCACCATTCATTTCTCATGGGCGCCCCCTCCCCCTTGTATCTTTTTGGTATTTCTACCTTCTTTTTACAAGATCTGGAGGACCATCTTCAACTAACCTTGCGGGTGGGCTTTCACCCATGGGACAAACTCTCTTACCCAGATTTTCTATGATCCTGGGACTTTCTACCAAACTTGAAGCACCCTCCTTTAATTTGTTAACCAACCAAGCCTCGGCTTATTTCTTCATTTTCATTCATCTTAGTATAGAAACAGTGGTCCCTTCCAAAAACAAAAAAAAGCCCCACAGTTCTTAAACACTTCTTTTATACCAATATAACCATCAAGACATCAACTTCAATGCCCAACCGTTCTCATTTTACCACTGGAGCCCAAGGGGGCACAACCCCAAAACCTTTTATATTTACAACCCACACCACACATATTAAGTTCTGTCACCCACTTGAAATTGTTTTTCTCAGATTTATTTTGCACTTTGGATAAACTCATGGGATTGGAGCCTCAGGCAGTACAACCATCCATTTCAACGCTGCTATTTCCCCCATTTAGGATGATACAACACAGGGCCCCCCCCCTACCACTTCACCAATTTAATTTTTTATTTTTTACAGTAGAGCATTACCCCGGCTTTATTTTCCTGCCTGCTAAACTGAAGTCGCGTAACACCACCCCCCCAACCAACCCTTACAACGATACACACCTAGCTGTTACATGTAATCAATATCTTCTTACTTCTCAAAAGAAGAACATAACCACTCTACCCCTAGGCCCTTAAAGGACACCAGGATACCCATTCTGCTCTCTACGGGGCCCCAAATAGCTCTGATTCAAAACGCTAACTGTGAACTATGGAAACTTTTAGTCGCCCTCTAATCCAATTCTAAAGACCGCCCGATCCCCCAGCATCCCACCCCCCCCAAATTTACCCCCCCCCCACCGCCTGTTTGTTGTGTATTACCTACGTTCCCACCCGAGGGGATTTTGGAGCAACCCAGGAGGGGCCCCATTTTACATTTTTCCTCACTTTTTTTCTAGACGACCCCTACGAAGACATACTTGGAAACGCCCCATCAATATATGGCGACCACCCCCAGTTCCATTACCTGGTCCACCGCCCAGCGGCGTTAATTAGGTAACCCCTCAAACTAGGGGATACTACGTTTAGCGTTCTTATTTTACCTTTTCGTTTAAATGTGCAACATCCGGCCTCAGGACCACAACCTAGAGTGGACGGTGGAAGGGACACACCCAAGCATTTCTTTCTTTTTTACCACTGAACGCCCCAGGAGGGATTTTTTAATTTATTATATTGAAGGTTAATTCCAAGCTTTTACATTTTTCCTATCCAGATTGCCTTTGTGGGACGGGGGCGACTCCCATTCTGAGCTCCTGAGGGACAAAAGGCGGCAAGTGCTACGTGAAGGACAGGAAACAAGCCCACCGTTTTTATAATTGTTTTTTTGTTCCCACCGTTGTACATTGGCCTGTAAATAGTTACTGACCCAGCGTATTCTTCCCCACTACTCACAGTCTTTGCCACCATGACTTTCAGACACTTGTCCAGTTGGCATTTTTTTTAATATAAGCATGGATTCACACATGGACGCCCAACCTAATCCAACAACGCATTATAGGGTAATAGAATACAAAACAATACACCATGTTCATACTCGTGAGATTTTAAAAGACTTCATACTTTTTTCTCTTGAACGATGCGGCCCTGGGGGGTAAACCGGGGCTGCAAAAGTTTTCCCCCTAAGTTTACGCTCACTAAACACAGTTTGGTTGTTTTGTGTTTAAAATCCAATTTTTATTTTTCTTGCTTTTTTGGGTTCTTGACCTGGAGATGTGCTGGCAAGTACCCCAGTCTTGTTTCCCATATGGTTTTTACCCCCACCCCCAAACTGGTCCCAGGAGGGGAACCCCCGGGAGTCGGGAGGAGGATTTACCATGTTTGGCCAAACCTACCATAAGCGGATTTTCAGCGTGATACGCGAACCCCCAAACATTCCACTGGGAGGAATCCGCTAACCACCTTTTTAACCAAACAAAATTGCTTAATATGAAAGCCATTTACGGCATCTTTCTTACCCCCTTTGGCACCTAAGGGACACCGCCTAGAGGGAACCACCAAAGGGGGTTTCCCCGAAAATCAAGGCGCGGTTAACTCCCCCCCCCACACTCTTTGACCTAACCCTCCTTTGTCCTGCTGTCCCCCCACCCTAGAAGGGGGATCTCTTTTCTCTTTTCACCTTTCCCTTTCCACTCCCGTCTTTGTTCGGGTTAGTTTTTCACTCTTTGCCATTAGTTTTGAGGGGAGAGAGGCTCTCCTTCTTTTGGTGGAACACGCAGCGGGGGGGACAGGTCTAACAAAGGTGGGAGTACCACGCCTTGATTCGGACCCCTTTTCTCTTGCCCTCTTATCCCCCACACACCAGTTCCAAATAAAACATCGCTAACATATGCCCCCCTTTCATTACCGCACCCATTTTTTAACCAAAGGTTTAAGGCATTTCCTCCAAGTGGACTTTTTCACCTGATCCACGGCTTGGTTCTTGGACCCATGAAATTCCTCTCCCCGCCCTCCACGGTCTCTTGGAACAGGTGTGTAAAATACCCCGATGAACACCTGCTACTTGCAGCAACATCCTTCAGGCCAGGCGGCACAAAAACTAGCAAGAACAAAAAATAAAACAATTGGTCTAAAAACCACACAAAACACCACCCAACTGTTTTAGCGGAAGCTCCTCTACTTAGGCGACTCTTGGACAGCACGTTTCCAGGCGCCATCCGTTCAACCAAAAAACAATACAAAGTACTTGGACATCTTTATTCCTCACCAACGTTTAATCCCATCTTATTCGCTTTTTGTATTTATACCTTTTATTGCGCGTTGATACTGCGTCCTCACCACTGCGATCCATGCATATTCTATATTTAAATTCCACATATCTTGAAATCATTTGGCATAGGGGGGGACTGATTGAAAATTTTTTTTTTTTTTTCTTTACCCTTCGGCAGTACTATTTTACCCCGGGCCCCATTTAATCCAACGTGGACACAAAACAAACAACTCCCTAACTATTAACGGGCTTTTCCCGTCCACCTTCGCCCACTTGGCACCATTTATACCAGAAGCCTTCCCCCCAGGATTTTTTGCCCCTTTTTCCCCACCCCCCCCAAAACAACAGCACTTTCCTGAGGGACAATAATTCAAAAGAACTTGATATTTACCCTCTACATTTCTGTCTAAATACATTTAAATTTCCTGCTTTCAGTGGTAGCTGTGGCCCTTCCCCCCACCGTTTTCCCCCCACCTTTTCCTGGCTTGCGGATTGCATTTTGCGGAAAGGAAATAACAAACGCTAACTTTTCCTGTTTTACCTTAATTACGTGCTTTTGCGTGGGGTAACCCCAGGAATAGGGACTTGGGTATTAATTGATGGCTTTCATATTCTTATACTTTGAAAAATTTGTAATTAAATTGGGGCCTTCTGTGCTCATATCCCCTCTTTTCGGTATTAACAAGCGTGGTTTATTGGGGATGCGGGGTTCGTTTAAGGAAATGGAAAAGGCCCCCACTAGGTTCATTTCACCAGTGGGCGTTATCAGTAGCTTTGGTGTGGGCCTTAGAGAGGCAGGAGTGTCTTGTCTTAAAGGGCTTTTGTTTCTTCTTTTGAGAGTAAATTATTATTATTTAAGGGTGGTTAAGGCCTTTTATTGTTGTGGGGGGAACCGGTGAAACCCTTCCAATTTAGCCAGGGGCAGGAAAATAAAAAAGCCCGGTTTTAATGAGCTTTTCTGTAATGGGTGGATTTAGGGGCCTGTTATTTTCCCTTCCCATGGAATAGGGAGGGCTTATGTTTGTTTTACTAGCCTCCCCAAATTTCATAGTATTCCAAAGTGCAAAAATTCTAAAACCAATTTAAAATGTACAAGGGAACCCTATTATTTTGTATATAAAGGTTTGTTTGGCCTGCCTCTCCCAAAGTACGTGGATGGAATTACTCCTTTTTATTTGTATTTAAAATTTGTTAAGCACTTTTTGTTTTGGGAGGACCCACATTTCTATTTTTTTTCTTAAAAATAAATGGATTTGAAAAAATTTAAGCCAGCTTTTGTACATTAAAAATTTGCCTTCCCCCAATTGTTTATCCAGGGTTTTTCAGGGATTTGGTCAAAGAGGGTTTTTTGCCATGGAGGCCCTTCCCCCAAGTTCCAGGACTGTCTATAGGAATACCCAATATATTACAGGGAGGGGGCCATGAGATGATGGGCTATTGATGTTGGTTCTACACAACTTGTTGCTTTTATTTCATTTAAATTGAAAAGCCTCAACTATGTTGAAATGCTATTCCAATTGGTTCAGGGGGGGGGACTGATTATTTTATAAAACATTGCTTTTGGGGTTTGGGGCATTATGGAGTTGCCAGGAAAACCCCCCCCCACCCCCCCACCCCAGGGATCACCTGGGAGGGAAGGAAACCAACCCCACTAAGGACCCTAAAGAGAAGTTGGGACTTAAACCCATTTAGGGATTTTGAGGGGAGCCAATGTCACTTATTATGGGGGGATTTGGTTTTACAAAAAGGGGTATTTTCTTTTAGCGGGGGCCAGGATTGCAAAGGCTTAACCAGGTTGCCCATTAGACTGTTATATTAAATGTTTTTACCAACGTTTACCGCAAGCCTTCAGGTGAAGGCTTTCAGCAGGGAATTCGCTTTTCAGTGAATTTTCAAAGTTTTTGCTCCGATCCTTTTGCTTCATACTGTCTTTAAAGTTCATAAGTTTAAACTTCTGCCCTCCTGCGATTGTGGTTCACAGTTCCCCCCCACCAATCATTGGGCTTTAAAAAATCCATTAGGTTTTTAGGGGGAAGCCCTTTCCTTGCACGGGGAATCCTTGGTTTGTTTTTCCATTGTGGGCGCCAATGTTTTTACATCCGACCAAACAAAATGTTTGGCCCCCCCACATTCCTGCCCCAAAATAGGCCATTTTTCCCAAAACTTAGTTCTAAATCAACTTTAACCTCCCGGCCAATTAATGCAAACCCACTACGCAGTGGGGGGGGGACGTCAGCCCCCCTTTTCAGGCACTTTTTCCAGGCCAATACATATTTAATATTACGGGCCTAAGCCCCTTCCCATAGTTATCGTTGCTCATTTTCATGACTTGCCACAAGGGCCCCAGCCTGGAGTCCCTTACCCGCGAAGGGAAATGATTGGGGGGACCAATACACTTGGCCGGGTCACCTCCATCCGTCTACACGGCCCCCAAACACCCCAAACCCCAATACGAATCACTTCACCACTCAAAATTTCCTTCCACAGGGGACCACACCCACCCAAAACCGCTTCCAAGGGCTTCTAGCTCACGGTTGACTTCCTTTTTTTGTTTTTACCCCACACCATTTTACTTTTAGGTTTGTTTTGACCCAGGCCAAGCTAAACAATAAATAAACAAAGGTTTGGGGCACTTAAATCTTTTTACCCACAGATTTTAACAATTCTACGTTTTTCATTATAATTTTTATCCTCCATCAAATGTCTAATGGAACCCCAAGGGATTCCTAGGGGGGACCCCCAATCCAGTTAAAAGCATACCCCCCCCCAACACCCCCCCCGTTTTTCACACCCACTGGCACCTAGGAATTGAAATATCACGAAAAGGTGAAACAAGGGGGGGGGACCAAGGGGCGCTTTATATACTATTTCACTCTTTTTAATAAATGGTATTACTTTTAATCTTTACCAAACCCGGCGGACTGCTCTGAAGGGCAAAAAAAACGCTGTTTTCTTATTTTTTATTTTCACGTCCAGATGCGGGAGAAGGGCCAGGAACTTGTCCCCACACTCAGGATAAGTGACTGGGGCGTTCCCCACAGCAACCGGGACCAATGTTGGTGCTCCACCCAGCGGGCTTCTCCTCACCCGGGGGCCTCCACACACCGATCCTCTCTTCTCAGTCGACTGGGGACACATTTTGATTTAACCACTATCGGGAAACATCATTCTTTTTTTAACCCCAAGCTCCTTTTGTGGTCAAACCACACTCTTTTTTGGTTCCCCCACAGATTTCTTCATAAAGGACCCAATTACATGAGGCTCTATTGCCCACGCCCACCCACTTTGCCTCCGCTATATCGTGATCTTTTTTAGGCTAACTTACCCCCCTTCCCACTTCTCCTGTTCGGCGGGGGACACACCGACTTGAGTATCTCACTGGGGGGAAGGGTTCTGTCCAAATAGGCTTTTAGAATTTTTTCTTTCCATGTTTTATTTTGTCCTCAACGTTCTGTCCATTGAGTCACCTGTGTCTGCACTCTTGGTTTGGACCTTTCTTCCTTGTGTTCGGAATTACCTAGCCACTGCCCCTTCCCCCTAGCTCCCCTGCCACCTTCTAACCCCTAGTGTACACTCCCCCACCACCCTCTGTTGTTTACATTTGTTAGTCTTGTAACTTCTTTCTAGCCTCCCTGTTTGTGTTCCCTTCCACCCCCCCCCCCCCCCACTCACCCCTGTTTTCCCCCCCCCCCCATACCCTATTGTGTCCTTTCCTTGTCCTTGTTTCTTTAGTTCGCGGTCCTTAGTTTCCCTTGCATGCGGTTGTCTGGAAGTCGTTTGGAGTGGTTTGTCCTCTTTTACTTAACATCCATTCCATCTTTTTGCTACGTTTTGCCATTTTGGGTTTCTCATTTTTTCATTTCCACCCCCCCCCCCACACGTGACCCCCCACAATCCGGCTTCCACCAGCGGCGTGGGTTTTACCCACCCGGGGGGGAGTTTCCCCCGAACTAAATCCTTCTAAACGGGAATTTAAAACTGGAGGATTACTGGGCCCCCCATTTTTGGGGAACCAACCCCAGCCAGTTCTGCTCTTTGGGGATTGTTTGCTTGTTCATTGGTGTTTTTTATTTTTTAAGTTTAAAAATCGCTCTGAGTGGGCCCACAAGGTCAAAAGGCCTCTACATCAAAGGAGAGAAAGCACCAGCGACACCTTTTTGGGTCCAGTCTCCCCCCACCAAAGGCCCTTTGAATGAAATTTACAAAAATTCTTACCTTAAAAAAAAAAAACGTCCACTATCTTTATACAAAAACCCCAACCTCCTCAAAAAGCCATTAGCGCAGTCTTAGCCATTAGGCCCCAGGAAGCTGGGAAACGGGGTGCTATGCCTTCTGTTAAAACCGGGGGATACACCATTGACGTCCACGTCCTTCCCTGCCATTTTCCAGCCCCCATAGTGAGTTGTTGAACAACAGTTTTAACCCAGGACCCCAACCCCTAATAGCTAGTAAGCCTTTAAATACCATACATGCCATACTTTGGTATAGCTCACGCTGTTTGCGGGGGACCCACACTTTATACAGAACGCCTTTAAATCTAAGAAACAAACAAGGATAACCACAACAACATAAATAAATACCAAGCCTAAAACGTATAAACCCTACGTTTTAACAGCGATTTAGCGGCCCCCAAGTTTTCTAAAAAATGGTTGGGTTATTGTTTGAGCGGTGATTTGGGAACGTCTGAACCCTAGATGATTTTTGTACAGTTCCATTATTGTGTTTCGCGGGGAAAGTCGATGGGCAGTTCCCCCCCAGGAGATTCGGGGACACCACGCTGTACTCCCAGCAACAAAGTCTCACCTCTCCCTCCGTTCCACCCCTCTCCAAGGTTTTCTCACTTCCCAGGGCACAACACACCCTTTCGTTCTGGAAATGGGAGTTGTGAGAAATGTTTTGGGAGTTTTAGTGGGGATTTCTGGGGACCCCGGGCGGCGGGGGTGGGACCCCCCATAGTGAAGGATGGGAACAGTAGGTGGAGTTGGGACGGGTATGGGGAGGGGCCCCCCAAAGGGCTTACTTGGTTATTTTTTTTAATATCTGCACTCGCTGGGCACAGGTGAGGGAGGTGGGGGGGGGGGAATGTTGTTATTGTTATTGCGGTATCGAGAACAGGGAGCCCCAGTTTGGGATAGTTGTTTGCGCAGCCGAGGAGGGCAGTGTTGAGGTGTGATTGGGTTCGAGGGTTGAGAGGGCACGGCCGGCGCAAGGCAGTGTTTCTGGTGTATTGCTAGTTCTTTCGTGGTCTAAACCCCAACATATTTTTCGGGCATCCTTTAACATATTGGAGCCTTGTTGTCCATCTCTATTTTAACAATAAGCCTATGGGAGAAAAACATTAAACAAACTTCCTGCGCGGAAGGTATGGTCTGCAAAGGCGACCAATTTACCTGCTGATAGCGAAGGCGGCAAGATAATACCTGTTCAAACACACCTGCAAATGTATTAATATCTCTGAGCTCACAGAATCTGTCTATGAGCTGTCAACAAACTCTTAAACCTTTTAGTCTAATCACTGTAGTATGGCACTTTAATCCCTACCAAAAATGATCATTATCTGTGCTAATTCCCGGATTAGCGTCCTCAGGATTATACGCCCATGTATTGTACAGTTAATCCCTCTACACTGCGCTGTTTTTTTTTTTTTTTTTAATACGCTGCCTGAAGTCTTTCTTATCATCCTAATTTTTTCTCTAATTACGGTCTCTGAGGAAAGCTCTGCTCCCTCTTGAGACCAGTTACTTTGTGACTCCTCCATACAAATCCGTCCCTTGATCTCTTCGTAGTCTTTCAACATTCCACTTTTGATCAAGAAGCTGGAGCATCGCCCGCGTCATTCTTTCTGCATCATGCATCCAAATGAGAATCCATCAATGAAAAGAAAAAAAAAATATAGCTTCCTTGAGGCATCTCCAACTTTCAGGAATTGATTTGCCATACACGTCTGAAAAATTAATAATCTGTTAATTGTGAGAGAAAGTTTGTGAAGCGGGGAAAGATGAGGCCATGCAGATAACAAGCAGAGAGCAAAAAAAAAGGCTTGATTTTTCAAGAACCATTCAAATGCATATTCAAGCTTGTTTTCTTCCATTTTAAGCCAGAATAGAGACTATGCGCTATAACTGGACGAATTGACAAAAGCGGGGTTATCAAATCCAAACTGCAGCCTTGTTTTAGTTCAGTGGTTCTTAACATTTTTTCACCAAGTACACCTTATGAAAAATCTTGCTCTCCAAGAACCTCCACGAATGACCAACACCACACTAGTAGCGTAGTAAGGCCGAAGTATTCACTCAAAAACAAGGCAGAGGTTTCATTCCTAAGTAAAATTACTGTATATTTTAATATTGCCAGCCATTGTACTTTTTACACAGTGTTCAACAGCAAGAACTTAATATAGGAAAAAAAAATCTGTACTTAAATCAATTAATATGTTCAATTCATTTCGAACGCAAGCTTTGACTCACCACTGTGTAGTGTTATTCTGGGTGGGATGTCTTTGTCCACAGGATTGGTTGGGACACTGTTTGCACTTTTGTTTAAATGCTTATGCTTAATCTGCTGCCCTCTTACATCTGTCGTTTTACTCACACTGAGAGATGTTGGTTTGGATCAAAGGTTCTTTTGTTGCTCTCTTTTCCTTTTGAACAGAAAAAGGGGAAAACAAAAATCTTGTATATGCTGCCCTTCTGTTGGAACGTGTTGCGAAAAAACGTATTTTATTTAATGCTTGTACTGTAGATCAGATGAGAGCACTTCCTCATGAATGTAACTGTTTTGATAATCTGTAATTTATTGAAATAGTATGTGCTGTTGTATATCTGTAATTGTATGTGAATGTTTTTTTAATCTGTAATTGTATGTCACTGTTTGTATAATCTGTAATTTGTTTGTCACTTTTTAGTAATTCTTTGGCGTACCACTAGAGGGACCCCTGTGGCTACCCCACACTTTGAGAATCCCTTTTTTGTAGCTCATTCTTCATTGAGCAACATGTTAAAGTTGTTTGTTTTTGATAAGCTGAAATTATGTCTATATCTCTGTCATGTGTCCCTAGACATGTTTTGTAATGATTGCACTCTTTTCAGATTACCAAGAGAATTCAAAATGGATATTATTCATTAATTCATTTCTAGTGGTCGTTATGCTGCGTTCAGACCAAACGCGATTATGGGCGGCGAAATCGCCCGTGGGCGCGAAGCCGTGCCGCGCGTGCCGCAATGCTTGTGCTTTTTGACTCCAGACGCTGGACCAAACACTCTGCCGCGCGGCACGCGCGGCCGATCAGAAAACAGCGCGCTTTGGGGAGGGGCTTCTCTATTGCCATAGTTCAACATGGACGACATAGAGCAGGTAGCTTTGCTTTGCCTTTTGAACCGTGCTAGACAACGTCGTCAAAGGGCGCAACGGCGACGTGTGTGGATTCATCCGATTGTCCGCGGGCGTAGGGAGTTTGGTGAGTTTCACCATTTGCTACAAGAGCTGGCGCTCGGATGAGAGTCGCTTTCAGCGATACTTCCGTCTCTCCCTGGCCCAGTTTGACGACCTGTTGACCCGCATCGGTGCTCGACCAGACACCAACTACAGGCGCTCAATTCCACCTGAAGAGCGCCTGTCCATCTGCCTACGGTAGTTTTACCCCATTCTCAATTATTAAATACTTCCAAAGTGTGCAATTTTTCTACCTATTCACATTTGAATAGCTCAGAAATTACTATATTTAACAATATGGCGTCTGCTTGTTACTAATTTTATATTGAATATCAAGACTAGTCACATACATTATCTTATTTTTAATTGTTATGTACAATATTATTTGCAGATTTCTTGCCACTGGGGGACTCCTACAGGAGCATCGCAGGGAGCTCAGGGTGGGCATTTCCACTGTCTCCGGGCTCATCCCAGATGTGGTGGCAGCCATCTGGGACTGCCTCGTGGGAGAGTTCATGGCTGTGCCTGGAGCAGAGGAGTGGAGGTCGATAGCGGAGGAGTTCGAGGCCAGGTGGAACTTCCCTCTGTGCTGTGGTGCCATTGATGGGAAACATGTGGCCCTGAAGGCACCCCCCAACTCTGGGTCCTTGTTTTTTAATTACAAGGGGCACCATTCGTTGGTTCTCCTTGCTGTAGTGGATGCCCAG